TTTATAGGGGGCATTTCTTTATCCACGGGCCACAGAACAACGGCATATATACTGCTGCTGCAGGAGGTTATGGGTCCGCGCTGAGTCTCTGCGCTGGTCTCTCCTCTGGATCTATACGGGTCTGCACTGGTCTCTCCCATGGATCTATACTGGTCTGCACTGGTCTCTCCCATGGATCTAGACGGGTCTGCACTGGTCTCTCCCATATACGGGTCTGCACTGGTCTCTCTCCATACGGGTCCGTGCTGCATGCTCCTGGATCCATACGGGTCCGCGCTGGTCTCTCAAGTCTGGTCTATGCGGTCTATCTTCGGTCCGCGCTGGTCTCTGCGCACCGGTCTCTCCAGTCAGGTCACTCCAGTCTATGCGGTCTCTCCTATAGGTCCGCGCTGGTTTCTGTGTGCTGGTCACTCCAGTCTCTCCTCGGGTCTGCATTGGTCTCAGCGCTGGTCCACGCTGGATCTCCTCCCAGGGTCCAAAATATTTTGAGATTAATCTCAAAACATTTTGAGATTCATCTTTAAAATAATACATAATATATTTTTAAATTAAGCTCATAACATTTTGAGATTAATCTCATCATATTCTTAGATTAATCTCATAATTTTGCTAGTTCGACTTTATTAGGCCGAGCCAATACGAAGTATTGGGGAGGCCTATTGTTATTCACCGGTTTCATATTATTATTCTTTTTCTTTTTCCGCAACTTCAATTCGATTTTTGACCCTGAAGACATGCACGAAAGTCTGCACATGGGGGGTCTAAAACGACCGGTTCGGCGAAAAATTTGATAAAATGAACGTTTCCAGATTGTCCGACGCTCGCCGACTCTATAACGCCCCCTAGAAATTTCATTTTTTTTGACCCTCTGGGGATTTTTTTTCAAATTTTTGAGTAGGTATACGAAATTCGGATGAGTGATAGATCTCTATGAGACGAGCATAAAAGCCGTTCTAAGCACATGTCTGGGACCAACAGGAAGTCGGCCATGATGGGCCAAAGTTTCGCCACTAATTTGACTTTTCATTTAGAAATTCGAACTAGTCCCTGGTTTTTCATCACACACAGTTCTACCACGTAATTTCCCAATCTGGACGGATTGAAGTTATATAATCATCGAAAAAAAGTTAGAAAATCTTCACCGTTTTCGTCCCTCGCCATGGCGAATAAGGCCTTCGTTTTGGCCATTTTCGCTGAGCCCTGAGGGCCACAGGCTCAGACCTACAGAGCTGAGACTCACATCAGTAATATTAGGTTATGGCCTGAACGCAATGACACTAAAATCATTCGCCCAATTTGAGCTCTTTAGCGCCACCTGTCGGAAAGTAATAGGGCACTAGTGCTCGGATCGGCCCGAAAATCGCTGAGTGTATTCTCTGGACCGAGACGAGCAAAACATTACATTACGCAAAAGTTGTACGTCCCACACCTGACCACTGGGGGCGCCGTAAAGTGAATGAATGAGCTTTTTGGGGCAAAATCTTTGTCCGATGAGGCTAAAAATGAATTCAGAAATACAGCGTATGACCCTGAACACAACGATATGCAACACACAACTGTGAGTGCAACAGCGCCACCTACAGGCAGTTCAATGTGTCTCATTTTTGGCTTCGTACTAGTCCCTGGATTTTCATCGCACAGACTTCTACCATGTCATTTCTCCATCTGGACGGATTGAAGTTATGCAATCATCGCATAAAAGTTAGAATTTTGTTATCGTTTTCATGCGAGGTAGCGGGGAATTTCTCCATGTTTGATGCTCTCCTGACCACAGGCTCAGACCTACAGAGCTGAAACTCACATCGCTAACAGTTGGTAATGGCCTGAGAGTAATGGTGTGAAAACACACACCTAATATGACTCTACAGCGCCACCTATGGAAGGCTTCTGACCTAAACTTTTCCGATCTTCACCAAAGTTGCAAAATCAAATCTTTACATCTGCACGAGCAAAATACTACTCTACGTAGAGGGTGCATGTCCCGGAGGTGACCACTAGGGACGCACTTTATCATATAAATGAGCTTTTATATACGTAATCCTGGTCAGATCGGGCTGCCAATTCGTCGGCGTGACGCTTGTGGGACCGGCGCCCAGGAGGCGGTCGCAAGAGGGGCGAGGCCTTTCATCGCCGCTTGCGGCTTTAATTCTTTTTCTTATTTTTTTTCCGCAACTTCAATTCGATTTTTGACCCTGAAGACATGCACGAAAGTCTGCACATGGGGGGTCTAAAACGACCGGTTCCGCGAAAAATTTGATAAAATGAACGTTTCCAGATTGTCCGACGCTCGCCGACTCTATAACGCCCCCTAGAAATTTCAATTTTTTTGACCCTCAGGGGATTTTTTTCCAAATTTTTGAGTAGGTACACGAAATTCGGATGAGTGATAGATCTCTATGAGACGAGCATAAAAGCCGGTCTAAGCACATGTCTGGGACCAACAGGAAGTCGGCCATGATGGGCCGAAGTTTCGCCACTAATTTGACTTTTCATTTAGAAATTCGAACTAGTCCCTGGTTTTTCATCACACAGAGTTCTACCACGTCATTTCCTAATCTGGACGGATTGAAGTTATATAATCATCAAAAAAAAGTTAGAAAATCTTCACCGTTTTCGTCCCTCGCCATGGCGAATAAGGCCTTCGTTTTGGCCATTTTCGCTGAGCCCTGAGGGCCACAGGCTCAGACCTACAGAGCTGAGACTCACATCAGTAATATTAGGTTATGGCCTGAACGCAATGACACTAAAATCATTCGCCCAATATGAGCTCTTTAGCGCCACCTGTCGGAAAGTAATAGGGCACTAGTGCTCGGATCGGCCCGAAAATCGCTGAGTGTATTCTCTGGACCGAGACGAGCAAAACATTACATTACGCAAAAGTTGTAAGTCCTACACCTGACCACTGGGGGCGCCGTAAAATGAATGAAGAGCTTTTTTGGGGCAAAATGTTTGTCCGATGAGGCTAAAAATGAATTCAGTAATACAGCGTATGACCCTGAACACAACGATATACAACACACAACTGTGAGTGCAACAGCGCCACCTACAGGCAGTTCAAGGTGTCGCATTTTTGGCTTCGTACTAGTCCCTGGATTTTCATCGCACAGACTTCTACCATGTCATTTCTCCATCTGGACGGATTGAAGTTATGCAATCATCGCATAAAAGTTAGAATTTTGTTATCGTTTTCATGCGAGGTAGTGGGGAATTTCTCCATGTTTGATGCTCTCCTGACCACAGGCTCAGACCTACAGAGCTGAAACTCACATCGCTAACAGTTGGTAATGACCTGAGAGTAATGGTGTGAAAACACACACCTAATATGACTCTACAGCGCCACCTATGGAAGGCTTCTGACCTAAACTTTTCCGATCTTCACCAAAGTTGCAAAATCAAATCTTTACATCTGTACGAGCAAAATACTACTCTACGTAGAGGGTGCATGTCCCGGAGGTGACCACTAGGGACGCACTTTATCATATAAATGAGCTTTTATATACGTAATCCTGGTCAGATCGGGCTGCCAATTCGTCGGCGTGACGCTTGTGGGACTGGCGCCCAGGAGGCGGTCGCAAGAGGGGCGAGGCCTTTCATCGCCGCTTGCGGCTTTAATGAAAATTGTTATTCGGTGGTTTCATATTATTCTTTTTCCGCCGAAACAATTCGATTTTTGACCCTGAAGACATGCACGAAAGTCTGCACATGGGGGGTCTAAAACGACCGGTCCGGCGAAAAATTTGATAAAACGGACGTTTCGAGATTGTCCGACAAAAGGCGAATCAATAGCGCCCCCTTGAAAATTCAAAATTTGCCATTTCTATTGGAGGCAGGATTGCATATTTTGGAGTAGGTACACGAAATTCGGATGAGTGATAGATCTCTATGAGACGAGCATAAAAGCCGTTCTAAGCACATGTCTGGGACCAACAGGAAGTCGGCCATGATGGGCCAAAGTTTCGCCACTAATTTGACTTTTCATTTATAAATTCGAACTAGTCCCTGGTTTTTCATCACACACAGTTCTACCACGTCATTTCCCTCTGGACGGATTGAAGTTATATAATCATCGAAAAAAAGTTAGAAAATCTTCACCGTTTTCGTCCCTCGCCATGGCGAATAAGGCCTTCGTTTTGGCCATTTTCGCTGAGCCCTGAGGGCCACAGGCTCAGACCTACAGAGCTGAGACTCACATCAGTAATATTAGGTTATGGCCTGAACGCAATGACACTAAAATCATTCGCCCAATTTGAGCTCTTTAGCGCCACCTGTCGGAAAGTAATAGGGCACTAGTGCTCGGATCGGCCCGAAAATCGCTGAGTGTATTCTCTGGACCGAGACGAGCAAAACATTACATTACGCAAAAGTTGTACGTCCCACACCTGACCACCGGGGGCGCCGGAAAGTGAATAAATGAGCTTTTTTGGGCAAAATGTTTGTCCGATGAGGCTAAAAATGAATTCACTAATACAGGGTATGACCCTGAACACAACGATATACAACACACAACTGTGAGTGCAACAGCGCCACCTACAGGCAGTTCAAGGTGTCGCATTTTTGGCTTCGTACTAGTCCCTGGATTTTCATCGCACAAACTTCTACCATGTCATTTCTCCATCTGGACGGATTGAAGTTATGCAATCATCTCATAAAAGTTAGAATTTTGTTATCGTTTTCATGCGAGGTAGTGGGGAATTTCTCCATGTTTGATGCTCTCCTGACCACAGGCTAAGACCTACAGAGCTGAAACTCACATCGCTAACAGTTGGTAATGACCTGAGAGTACTATTGGACTTGAAATACCCCACCCCAAGCTTTTAGCACACATTTGAAACTTTTCTGAGATTACTGATTGGTCTCAGGACTGTGAAACCCAAGAGCATCTGTGAGATTCAGTTCACTCCTTAAAAAGCTGTCTTAAAGTTTGAATTAAGGGACATCCTCACTTTTGACCCTGTTTTCGAACATTGTTCAAATTATAAAAAAGTGTTTGAAAATTCAAAATGGTGAGTTATAGAGGCTTTAGATGCACAATGTATCAGTTTTGGTGAACTGAACTGCATGTTTGTGTGTTGCAGCAGAACACCTTTGTAATTCCCATCTGCAGTAGATGTAGCATTTTTTTTTTTGTTTCTAGGGATGTGGATTGTTCATTGGGTAATTATCTGTTCACTCACTATGATTTAGTAATTTTCACATTGTGTAGGACAGGGGTTCCTGGAACTTTTAAAGGCAGGAAAAAAATCAAAATTAGGATGAAATATTCATTTCACCATTGCCCTTTTATGGTAGTTGTTTCCTTTGTAAAATATGTGTTATATCACAAGGGAATTGTTTTATATATATATTATATTTATGAATTTGATCAGTCTCCCTCTAAAATACAAATTCAGAATTTGAATGAGACGTAAACGTCTAGAACATGATTTAAAAACCAAAGTCCTTCAAAGAAAGTTTTTAGAATTCTTTAAAAAAAATTGTTACTCATCTTTTTCTACTTTTTTTTGCTGTTAAAAACTGGAGTGGTAAGGAAAAAATGGTACAGAGTTCTGTTGGAAAGATAAATATTAATGTTTCAATAGTAATATTGAATATATAGTTACATTTAAGTGTACATATTGAAAAATAAATGTTGACGTGGAAAGGCTTTAAAAGGTTTTTAATTTTTAAGAACACAAGCTTTTTGGTATAAATGTTATTTTTAAAAGTCTTGTAATTTTTTATCAGAGCTGTCATTCTTGAAAAATGTTTTATGGTTTTCTGAGTCCAGTTTTTGGATAGTACCGAGTTTAAGTATTTGAGTTATGATGTTATGTTGCTGTTTATTGATCCTGATGGTCCACGTGAATGTGTGACCAGAGGGGGGGAGGAATGTGAGGATTTCATAACTCTTTTAAGCACCTTTTGTTAAAGTTTAACTTCATCATTCTATCAATGTGCAGAAGCCTTTACTTTTCACTTCATGTTTTGTCTATCTGAAGGCCCATGCTACAAGTACAACGTAGGGAAGCTGACTTGATTGGGTCTCCATGCCTCCGCTCTGTAGATACACTTGCATTTTTTGTATGTATCTGTTGTTCGTGCTGTAAGTCCCAATACCCACACTGCACCCTACACACCTCTACGAAGTGTGCATTTGTTCGAAGTGCACACCAGGGTTGGAGTGCGCAGGTTACAAGTGTGCAAAAAAGGCAGAATTGGGACAGTGCACACTGAGTGCAGGTGACGTCATCGGCTCGTCATTTTCAGACCTGAACTTTATGAAAATTAAAGGTAACTTTGTACTAACCTTTTGGGAAACAACATGAATTGGTTCACACACATTAAAATACATGTATATTAGTTGTTTTTAATTAGAGATAGCGGTATAATTTTAAGTTAAATGTGGGTAAGTAACTGTTATCTGGTCAGTTTTTATACATTCTAAGATTATTGTACTAAGTGTAATGTTTAAATTGAATGTTATATAAACGCTTGCTTTAAAAAGTTATTAAATTGTTAAAACACAATGTCCGTAATTCTTCATCAGACGTTTATGCTTCTTTCCAAGTAACATAGCAAAACTTATTTACACACATACTGCATATATATTTCAAAATGTATATTTAAATGCATTTTCCCGACGTTTTGGTGTGTATCGCAAAGAATTGTGGGCAATATCCTTCGCCAGAGTGCGCATAGATGCAGGCTACGGCGAAGTGTGGATCAGGGGCGCAAAGGGGGCGGGGCCAAAGACATCCCTGGAGAATTGGGACACCCTACGCACTCGCACCCTTTATCGGGAACGCGCAAATGAGGGGCGCGAGGGTGGAAGTGCGAGTATTGGGACGGGGCCTTGTACTGACACAGTAGCCCAATGTATGTATTGGTCTGAAAGTCACGCTTCCTCTTTTTACTTCCTGTCTCCTCACAGCAACCTGCCTCGGAAATACTCCCCAGAGATGCTGGTGATGCTGAGCAGGTAAGTCTGAGTGTCGAATGAATTGCTTGGTCATCTTAAACCTTGTAGGGCTTTTGGGTCTGTGGCACTAGTCTTCAGTGTTGATTAAAAATGGTCGCAGTGACCCAAACACCCTACAAGGGCTACACTGGGAATGAAAACTGTTCAGTGAGTCTTAGATTTCATTCTTAGTTCTACTAGTTCAGTGCATTTTCTCCTGATTGTTCTGGTCTACATTGGTTTCTCTCCCAACTGTCCTGTATTTTAGTGCTTGGAGAGTGGGCACTCTTCCATATCTGTGAGCCAGAGTGAGCAGAGTCTGGAATTTGAGCCCCATTGCAGTTCTGTAGAGGTGAGTTTGTAGTATTGAGATTGTTTATGATAGTTTGCTAACGTCAATCCGTGTGTGTGTGATATCACCTGCTTACATGGTGGCTTGTACTGACGCATTACCTGAAGGTGTTTATGTGGACACATCAGGTGGAAGCTTTCAGTGTTTTTGAGTCTCATTCGGAGTGTGTGTGTGTGTGTGTGATATCACCTGCGTACATGGTGGTTTGTACTGACACAGTAGCCCAATGTATGTATTGGTCTGAAAGTCACGCTTCCTCTTTTTACTTCCTGTCTCCTCACAGCAACCTGCCTCGGAAATACTCCCCAGAGATGCTGGTGATGCTGAGCAGGTAAGTCTGAGTGTCGAATGAATTGCTTGGTCATCTTAAACCTTGTAGGGCTTTTGGGTCTGTGGCACTAGTCTTCAGTGTTGATTAAAAATGGTCGCAGTGACCCAAACACCCTACAAGGGCTACACTGGGAATGAAAACTGTTCAGTGAGTCTCAGATTTCATTCTTAGTTCTACTAGTTCAGTGCATTTTCTCCTGATTGTTCTGGTCTACATTGTTTTTTTTTTCCCAACTGTCCTGTATTTTAGTGCTTGGGGAGAGGGCACTCTTCCATATCTGTGAGCCAGAGTGAGCAGAGTCTGGAATTTGGGCCCAAGTGTAGTTCTGTAGAGGTGAGTTTGTAGTATTGAGATTGTTTATGATAGTTTGCTAACGTCAATCCGTGTGTGTGTGTGTGTGTGTGATATCACCTGCGTACATGGTGGTTTGTACTGACACAGTAGCCCAATGTATGTATTGGTTTGAAAGTCACGCTTCCTCTGATGTTTATTTCTTGTCTCCTCACAGCAACCTGCCTCGGAAATACTCTCCAAAGATGCTGGTGATGCTGAGCAGGTAAGTCTGAGTGTTGAATGAATTGCTTGGTTGTTCATATTTGTTGTCACTTTAATTTCTCAAATGTTTTATTTTCTCCTGTCAGTGTCCTAAACACCGTTTGGTGTGTGGCGATATGTCTGCTTTTGACAAATGCATTCACTGCCTGGGACCTTTCGCCTCTTTGAGATGGATGGGGTTCAAATGCAAAGGTAAAATGTATATATTGAGTGCACAGCCTATGGAAAGTCCTTGTCTTGACTGAGTAGATTGGGTCCGAACCCCAAAAGACACATGATGCAAATGGCCACAGGTCACACTTAACCTCAGACCACCTGTGTTACCATGGATAGGCGACGCTCCTCTCTGTAGTGTGGCTGCTTGGCGCGGTGACAAAAAAAGCGAATGTGAAACCGAAAATTTAAATGTTGTGTTCTGTTCACTTTGGCGGCTGTGACCGGGTGGACCAAAATGTGTAAAATCATTCTTAAACAGACTTGGACTTGAGACCAAACTGATCTAAATCTGTTTCAGATTGTCCAGGACTCTGGCATCTAACCTGCTACAGACGGATGATGGGTCAAGACTCATCAGACCTCATTGATTCTATGAGCTCTGGAAGCGAGTATGTGCCGGACTCTGAGTCCGGGGATTCCGATTCTGATTCAAGTATACCCTTGGTGCCTCAACAGTCAAAAATGCATTCAAGTCGAATAATACAAGAGTTACCCAGTGACAACACAAGTATTCCAGATGAAGCTGGTACATCAAAATGTTTGCAGCCTCTTGCTGATGACATAGATGATGCTGTTGTTGACCCAGACTCGACTGCTGGACATATGGATGTTGGTGCTGATGAAACATCAGATTCAGCAGCTTCTAAACAATACTCTTCAAATGGGCAACTTAAGAGCAAACGCAGGTGTACCTCCACACGTTCCAGCTTGACCATTCGGAACTACTGTTTCATTTGTGGTAAGCCACAAAGTAGACTGACTCGACACCTAAAAACTCACATGTCACACCCAGAAGTATCCTATGCATTTTATCTCCCAGAGAAGTCAAAGGAACGCAAAGTGTTGTTTGAAAAAATGCGAAATAAGGGGAATTTTAAACATAACACTGCCATTCTTCAAGGTGAAACGGGTCAATTGAAAATGAAGAGAAGGCCAAAAGCTGCTGCTGTGGCTGGAACTTTGGTGCACTGTATGCACTGTCTTGGTTTATATGTCCGTAAAGATCTATGGAGACATGTGCGACGATGTCCCTGTAGGCCAGACAACAAGGATTCTGAGGAACGGACCGGGAGAACAAGAGTGCTGGCTTTGGCTACAGCCCAGGAGGCCGTTTTCAGCCAACACTTTTCAAGTGGAATGTGGAAGATTCTGAGCTCCATAAAGGTGGATGAAATTGGCCTGACTTTGAGAAATGACCTCTCCATTGTGCACTTTGCCCAGTCACTTTACAACAGACACGGACAAGACCCCACAAAACATGAGTACATGCGACAGAAGCTCCGTGAAGTGGGAAGGCTGCTAGTCTGTCTGCGCCACGACTTCTCAATACACAGCCTGGAGGAAGCTATCAAGCCATGTAACTTTCAGAATGTTGTTCAGGCAGTTCAGAAAGTTGCTGGCTTTGATGAAGAAAACCTGTCCTATCGTACACCAAGCCTGGCTCTGAAGCTGGGGCACACACTAAACAAGATCTGCAACATCATTCAGTGTCGAGCTCTGATGGCAGAGGATGACAGGCTGGTTAAGTCAGCTGAAACATTCAGTAAACTGTACACCTCCAAGTGGTGTGAGCTGGTGTCCCATAGTGCTCTGAATACGCTGAGTACGCTGAAGTATAATAAACCATCAACACTGCCCTTCACAGAGGACGTTCGGACACTACACCAGTACCTGCAGAAGTCTGCAGACGCTGCTGTTGGCAGCTTGACGGAGGAAGCTACATCCAAGACCTATGCTGAGCTTAGTAAAGTTATTTTAGCTCAAATCATTCTATTCAATCGTAGACGTGCTGGGGAAGTGTCAAAAATGCTTCTCAAAAGTTTTGAGGAACGGGACAGAACAAAGCTTCACTAAGATGTTGCCATGGCCCTGTCCAAGCTGGAGCAGCAGCTGTGCAGCTACTTCACTAGAGTGGAAATTGTTGGGAAGAGGGGGAGGAAGGTGGTTGTTCTTCTTACACCGTGTATGGTGGATGCCCTGTCACTACTGACAAGTAAAAGAAAGGAATGCGGCGTCCATGTCAACTAGGGCTGGGCGATAAAACGATAACGATATATATCGCGATAGACATGTGTTCGATATCAATAGAGAATGGGGTCGATAGAATGTTCGATAGTTTAACTTAACTCCGTCAGGAAAAACAGGAAGAAAACACCGGAAGTAAAGCCGACTCATAAGCGCATGGCATTGTGGGGGATGTAGGCGGAGGCTTCTTGACCAATAACAGCCGAGCAGGAACCGCAAAACTTTGTGGGAAATGCAAAAACAACAACAACCGCAGCATGCGTAGCGTCCATGGATCTATAGCTCGTGTTTCAATGCCGTGTCAATGGTTATGCACGTACGTGCGCGGAATAACATGTGCGGCGGCAGAGGCAGTGGACAGACCCGATGTATTCGGCGAAAGCAAGAGATTAACTTTTTCCTCGGGAAGCATGTGCGGCACAGAGAGCCGCACGGAGCGGCCACGGGGACACAAGACCCTCAACCAGCTAAACCAGGAGCTAAACCAGGAATAAAAACCAGGATTAAACCAGGACTAACAACGAGGGACACAGTGTGAACATATTTCTCCAGCCTCATCGCCCCGTGACTGTAAACAAGGCTGCTAAGGTTGGTTAGCCCACACGACAAATATATTTATTTAGGTTAAAAAAAAAAACTCAATATATATCGTTATCGACCGATATGAATGACTTATATCGTGATATAGTTTTCAGCCATATCGCCCAGCCCTAATGTCAACAATATTTTCTTGTTTGGAAGACCTCAAGCGCTGAGCCACTACAGAGGACAGGACTGCCTGCGGGTTTATGCAAGCCAGTGTGGAGCAAAGCACCCAGAGCTCCTCAGGTCCACCCAGCTGAGGAAGCATGTTGCAACACTCTCTCAGATCCTGAATCTGAAAAACAATGAACTTGACCAGGTTGCAGATTTCCTTGGACACGACATCCGTGTCCATCGGGACTTCTATAGGTTTCCAGTCCCAACCATGCAGTTGGCAAAGATTTCCAAATTGCTATTATCCATGGAAAAAGGAAATCTTTCTGGCCTGCAAGGGAAGTCCCTGGATGAAATTCAGATTGAAGGTGAGTACTTCAATGTATGTAACCTTAATTTAATATGCTTAATTCAGAGAATCAGGCGTTGTTCTGTCCCATCTTTGATTCATTCAGTAAAGTGTGCCTGTTGCTTTTGTCTGATTCCCTTTTTGTCAAGATGAGATATCATTCAGTGACACTGAAGCTAAGGACAGTGGCAGTGACTCTGAGGACAGCAGCACAGAGGCTAAGGAACCACAACTTGAGGACATGGAAAGTCTGGGTCAATCCTCAGGCTGTCCCATCGTGGAGCTGTCACAGAACTCTGAGGACTTCAGTAAGTAATATGTTTGTACTGGGTGCTCTCTCAGCATCTTGGGCAACAGCAGCTAGTGACAGGTTCTATAGACAATACACTCCTGATGAGTCCTATTTTGTTTTCATTAGAAATACTATCTGAAGTGACATCCACAGCAGGAGGCACTACACCTCAGTCTGAAGGTAAGACCAGTGTTTGGGTATTTGATAATGCTAAGATATGCAATGACTTTAGACCTCCAGAAGAATGTGAGGAAATGAAGTGAAATGAACAGAAAAGTAAATGTAAAAGAAATGGAGTAGAAAATCTATTTTTGATTTTCCAGTTTTGGAGGTTCCATTCAATATGAGCAGACATGCCTCTGCAACATTGAACATCTAGGCCAGGGGTGCCCAAACCTTTTGCTTCCAAGGGCCAAAGTAAAAATTTGCCAGTCGGCCGGGGGCCAAATACACCGACATTTCGCATGAAACACAAATAAATGTAGATTTGATCAAGTTCTATTAAATGCATTAATTATTGTCTATCAGTGCAAATCACAGCTGAATGAATGAAATCAACACAGTCTTAGTGAAGTGGAGACTCCAGGGAAATATGCAGGTTTGAGGAGACTACAGTATGGAAAGATTCCGGCCGGGTAATCAGGGTCCAGAGGAGGGAGATTTTCTGTCATGGCTTATTTACAGCTTAAAATCATATAAAAAACCTCTAAAAGAGAACAGAAACATACATTTTCTATGTAGCTAAACTGTTTTTTAAACGCCACTTGTAAACAAATAATGTTCCTGTTAGTAAATGAAAGTACTAATTTATATTAAATAATATCATACTCCCAAATTAAATAATCTATATTTTTAACCTGCTCATGTCAGTAAACTGTTTGTTGAAGACCTTTTTCTAAACAGTTTTGCATTACTATAGTACAGTGATTTATAATGTATAGGTTTATTGTACTAATGACATTTACTTTACAAAAGTAAAGTCTATTTTCATTTATTTATTTTGAACAAATGTTTTTAACTACATTTGAATCATATTACTTTATCTTAGCTTTTATCAAAAAGGGGAGACATCACTGATCAATAGATCTGGTTTTAGCACACTTTTAAACAATACATTTTAACTTTTAGTAATGAATTTGGGAACATAATTGCTAACTGCATTTTCTAAACATGATCAGGTTTTAACTCTGTTTTAACTCAATATTTTTAACATAGGGCAAGTATTCTCAATTAGTTGTGAACTGAATATTAAACTAACGAAATCAGACTAGTTAACCATGATAGTTACTTTGTTTTGATTGTTTATAAATGTCGTACTGTGTTTAGGTAAAACAAAACAAACTCAAGGAACCTGTTAAAGAGTCCGTGTTTCCGCTCCTCCAAAGGGCTCTTGAACGCATCATAAAACTCAGCGTAAGTTCTGACATTCAATGATCGCGAGTGAGGACGGCGCTTACCGGCTTCTTTCATGGGGTTGTAGAAGGGTTTGTTTTGCACAGTATTTGTTGCTTCTATTTACGTGGATCGTGCGCTGCGATCCCTGCTTGTCCTGCTTGAACTCACTCTGAAGTGTGTGTGTGTCCGTCTTTTTTAACACACCGGGTGGGTGCGGATTGCGCAGGTGAATAGTTCCACTCGCCAATTGCCTCCGGTGAGGAGGGGGAGTGCAGTTCGCCAGCACAATCCTCTCAATTTGATAAAACATTAAATTGCTCAAAAAAATTATAATAGTAGGCTGAAAAAAAGAACATAAAGGGGCCTTGCACCCAATTGTTTTGAAAGATGTGTTTGATTTTAAAAAACATTTTAGTGCAAGTAGATTTGAACCATGAGTGAGGAGTGTATCTCGATACAACAGTAAAGTACTGGACAGTCGTGGTTCAGAGAGCGTTGGTGCGCCCGCGCGATCTCAGACATGTCACTGTTTGTTCAGCGAGGCTGAGGGACGCAGTTAGAAACTTACAGAGGAGGTGGGCAATGTAAGGCGGGCCAACTGAAATGGTCCGGCGGGCCAACTTTGGCCCGCGGGCCCCACTTTGGGCACCCCTGATCTAGGCAGTTCCTCTAGATTGGCAGACCAAGGTGGGGTCCCCTCTTAAAGAGAGGGGTGTGTTCTAAATACAGAGGACACTCCTCAGCTTCCGGAGGTCCTGGAGAGGACGATACACTATATGTATCCAAAAGGCGTGGGCTGGGTCGCTGGGGTTCTTCTAGGTCCTTGTGCCTAAGGGATGTCAACTTTTTTTATTTTTTTATATACTATGGTCATTCCCCTTGCTTGACCCCCAATAACCTTTGCTTTCTGTGAAGAGCTCTTCCTTTAGTAGGAAATAACCTGTAGCATCAATTGGACTTGACTTGCGTTTCCTTTAACAGCTTCTAATTTTTACTTTCCCTCTTACATTTCTTTCAGGAAAAAATGCAGTTCAAGAGTCTAAAGCAAGAAGACTCCCAAAAAGAATGTGGTCAAAAGCTGAGGTTGCTGCAGTGATACGACATTTTGGAAATCACATTTCCAAAGGAAAACTTGCCTCCAAAGCTGAATGCAGCCAATGCAAAATGGCAGAAGACCCTGTGTTGTCACAAAGAACAGAACAGAATATAAGAGACTTTGTGAGAAACCGAATAACCACAACCCAGAGGGGAGCCAGAAAACTCTAAAACAAAACAATGATGCTGATGGATCTAAAGCACAATTTGCTTCTATTTCATTTCTTCTGTTATTGCAGCCTAACTCACTTGGTAATATCCTTTTATTTGGATTGTGCAGTATTGTTTATATGGTTCAAGTTATATTTTATAACCAGCTGGCTGCTGTTAACACAGCCATGTTTTGTTTGTTGGAAGTCTATACTAAGAGATCAAAGTGACACCACCATCATGTTCATTTTCCTTTGAGTTAAACAATTTAAATTTTACCTTTCCCCTGTTCATCCAGCCGTTCTGAGTCTGGCGACCCCCTTGTGGCTTCAGTTTAGCATGAATCATTGAATCTGATTGGACAGTCACATCCTAATGCTAATTGCAATTGTTTTTTTGTTTTTTTTTTTCATACTTTATTGTGTCATCTTCATTAGTTCACACTGTTTTCTTAATACATACAGCTTAACCAGACACATTTTAATTTCTTTTTTGTTGTTTTTTCTTTTTTACCCCACTATGCTCCCCTTGTGTCAAAAAAAGATAAAACAAAACAAAGCAAAACAAATACAGAGAAAGTATCTATATATACACAACACTAAAATATATATATATATACCAAAAAAAAAATAAGAGTATTTTATTTACTTTAATATCGTTTTAACAATAGATGGTTATTCTTATGGCTATATGTTAAATAGTTTTGATGTTATATTGATAAGTATACAGAATGTGTAGTCAGTCTTCCTGTGTCCATTTTTGTAGAATTTATATATACATACACACCCGCACAGATACTCGTTTGCACACCTATATACTCGTGTACATACATATACGCACACATGCATACGTCCACATACAAATTGCGATTGTTCTAATCTGATTCAATGACTCTTGCAAAACTAAAGCCATAATTGTGGTCACACAGCTGGTAGAGAAGATACAGAAGCAGATAACTGTTTACCTAGGGAGGTGGAGACTGGGCATATATTCCCAAAAGGTGCTGTTTTTATTTAGAGCTGATGTTCTAAATAAAAAGGATACTTTTGTTTATCGTTCATGGTCTGTGTTTGTTTCTTAGTGCTTCAACATTGACTTCAGTGCCTATTTCAATTCTCTTTTGCTTTTGTCATACAAAAATACCAAAGACTTCAGTGGATTATGATTTACAACCTCTGAATGATATGGTTTGGTTGTGTCCCCCAGATGCATGGTGGTGTCTGGCAGTGTAATACCTAGTTGTGTATTTATGTTAATTTGGGGTGTGGGGGGCGTGGCTTCCTTGTCCCTTTAAAGTCTTCATAAACCTGTCGTGTCACCAGAAACCACAATTCAAAAGTCACCACAAACCATCATATAGTCAGGTCTGATATCTCAGGCTCTGTAGCTTCTTTAGGAAAGCTAAAGTGTGCTAAATTTTTTTCAATTTTTTTTCATTGTTTAGCCTTAGTTCTATTCCTCTAGGGTCAAGAAAAAGTTGTGTCAGTGTAATGCACCAACATACCTGTTTCAGGATTTTGTCGGTCTAAATCACATAAACCTGTGTGTGTGTGTGTGTGTGTGGGTGCGCGTACAGTGCCTTGCGGAAGTATTCGGCCCCCTTGAACCTTTCAACATTTCGCCACATTTCAGGCTTCAAACATAAAGATATAACATTTGAATTTTTTGTCATGAATCAACAACACCTCAGCTGTAGTTATCTGCAGTTCATCCAGAGTGATCATGGGCCTCTTGGTTGCATCTCTGATCAGTCTTCTCCTTGTTTGAGATGAAAGTTTGGAGGGACGGCCGGGTCTTGGTAGATTTGTAGTGGTCTGATACTCCTTCCATTTCAATATAATTGCTTGCACAGTGCTCCTTGAGATGTTTAAAGCTTGGGAAATCTTTTTGTATCCAAATCCGGCTTTAAACTTCTCCACAACAGTATCTCGGACCTGCCTGGTGTGTTCCTTTGTCTTCATCGTTCTCTCTGCGCTTTAAACAGAACCCTGAGACTATCAAAGAGCAGGTGCATTTATACGGAGACTTGATTACACACAGGTGCATTCTATTTATCATCATCAGTCATTTAGGACAACATTGGATCATTCAAAGATCCTCACTGAACTTCTGGAGTGAGTTTGCTGCACTGAAAGTAAAGGGGCCGAATAATATTGCACGCCCCACTATTCAGTTTTTTATTTGTTAAAAAAGTTTAAATGATCCAATAAATGTTGTTCCACTTCACGATTGTGTCCCACTTGTTGTTGATTCATGACAAAAAATTAAAATGTTATATCTTTATGTTTGAAGCCTGAAATGTGGCGAAATGTTTAAAGGTTCAAGGGGGCCGAATACTTTCGCAAGGCACTGTATGTGTATATATATGTATGTATTAGGGTTGGGCAATATTTTTTTTGTACCGGTATACCGGTATAAGTAAATTAAATGATAAGAAAATGCCTTATACCGGTGAAAACGATCATTTAACACTGAAAACAGCAAGCGGAAGACACGTTTGTGTGCGGCGCACTTTGATGATGCATCTGCGCGGCACGTGTAGCAGAGCGGCGTGCAGGGACAACAACAACAGAGCAGAGAGCAAACATGGCTGAGGGCGGCGGTGAAGACCATGGTGAAGACATGCAGATTGTAGAAGAGATTGTGCCAAAACGCGGAGCTACCTAAAACATATGGGAGTAGTTTGGGAACTAGATAAAAAGAAGCAATTGTGTGTAACTATCAACAGTGGATCTAATGTTGTGAAAGCAGCTGCCCTAAACAACTGGACTCGAGTGGCTTGCTTCGGACTCTCTCTCTCTCTCTCTCTCTCTCTCTCTCTCTCTCTCTCTCTCTCTCTCTCTCTCTCTCTCTCTCTCTCTCTCTCTCTCTCTCTCTCTCTCTCTCTCTCTCTCTCTCTCTCTCTCTCTCTCTCTCTCTCTCTGTGTGCCATTGGTAAGCTTTATTTTTATTTACTGTTTACTGTCATTCATTTTACTTCAATGCATGTGTTTGTCTACATTGCAATATAATTACAAATAAGTTATAATTACATAATTATAGAAACGCAAAAGGATACAAAAAATATATACAGTATTTGATCATTTTGACTATATTGGTATTAGGAAACATAAGCCAAAGTGATCCAATAATTATTTGATAATGCTACACTTTTTATATTGCAAAGGACAAACTTTTATATATTTTACAAATTACAAATGTTCACCTTTATTACATGTTGCCTGCAATTTTCAGTATGTACAAAACAGAATTCTCTACAATTCAATTTTGTTAATACGTTTAATATACAATAGCTGTATTACACATTTTGCTGCCAATAAATCAGTAAATGCAATTTGAGGCAAGTGTGTTTAAAATTATCAGTGCTAAGTTTTTATAGCTTTTATATGAGGCTTTGTTAAAATTATCATATTGTCATATCGTGATACATACCAACAAAAATCGTGATACATGCTGAGGCCCATATCGCCCAACCCTAGTATGTATATGTATATATATGTATGTATGTGTATATATATATATGTATGTATGTGTATATATATGTATGTATGTGTATATATATATATATGTATGTGTATATATATATATATGTATGTGTATATATATATATATGTATGTATGTATGTGTATATATATATATGTATGTATGTATGTGTGTGTATATATATATATGTATGTATGTATGTGTATATATATATATGTATGTATGTATGTGTATATATATATATGTATGTATGTATGTGTATATATATATATGTATGTATGTATGTGTATATATATATATGTATGTATGTATGTGTATATATATATATGTATGTATGTGTATATATATGTATGTGTATGTACACTTCCTCCTTCCTCCTTCGTCGAGCAAAGACGTGTCTCAGTCCGCTCCTGCTTCTGACGGCTTGCTATCTCCTGTTTTTGTCTTTTTTCCTGGAGTTTTGCCACAGACAACTTTAACAGAATGGAAATGATTAACTGGTCCCTCAACGCAATTGATTCTATCTTTTCAACACGTAAGCGTGGGTCTGGAGAGCCCGTGTGCCCGGACGGGACTTCACCAGCGGGGTATACTCTTGACAGCTGGAACAAGTTTCAGCCCCTCTGTCTGTCGACCCTGTCCATTGAAGATTCGGAAGACGTATATATCTTTGCCATTTTGGTGGTGGGAATCCTCCTGTTTGGGTTTGGAGCGATCCTCTTCTACCACAAATTTGGAAGCATGGCAGTTCGCAAGATTCACGACCTGCTGGCCGACAAAATTGATGGGATGTACAAGGAGCTAAGCCGTGTCGTGGTTGAGAGTGCCGTGTCTGGACAAAGGAGAGTGGTGTTGGTGGAACAGTTGGTTAAAGATCTCGCAGCTCGTTCACTCGATGGGCATAGAACTCTGGAATTGAGATTGAATGACATTGTGTGTCTGGCTTGAACTCTCTGACCTGGCTAGGATTTGCCCCTGTGTACGGTGGACTGAGGGCGCCGTAATTCGGTTTAATTGGAATTAACAGAATATCTGCCTGCTTTTGATTCTACATTGCATACAATATTGTCCCTCTCAGGCGATGTGGTTTTCTCCTGTTGTGTCTTCTCTCCACTCTTATCTCACATTCCTCGACCAAGGCCATAAACAAGGTCCCACAATCTACAACAACTCACACTATTTCAGTTAAGTCCAGCAAGGATCCCTCACCCCCGCCTCCCTCTACCTATCCATCTTGCTCCCTCCCTCCCCTCCATTCCTCATTGTGTTTCCGACTCACCCCCTCCCTGATCCCGCCCCCCTCTGACAGCTACATTGGGCCGGCTGCCGGAGGGCTCATCCCGAGAAAAAGATCCGTGATTTATACAAAGCACAATGTGTCTATCCAATTGTCTGTGAACTGTATGTTATTGCTCTCTGCTGTTTCTTGCTGCACACAGCGCCGAAGTGGCACGCTCTCTGCCAAGACAATTTCCAAGTGGTAACTTTGTTACTCACGTGGCAATAAAAATGATTCTGATTCTGATGTATGTATATA